CCACACTGCTGCTCAGGAAGGGTTTAGAGTGATTCATCATTTTACAAGTTCTGCCACAGTTTAATGGTTTTAAAAAGAATATTTTTCACTTAATAACTTAATTTCAATTCTTAGTAGGAATTTATGAGAGTGTCTGTGGAGGAGGAAACATTTCAGTGAGCATTAATACATTTTTCTTGATCCTCTGATTTACAGAGCATCCGCCTCCTAATTTCCATGTGTTTAAGAATGCAGAGGAAAGTCATACGCAGGGTCCATGCTTGGAATCGGACGTGGGTTCTAATCCCAGCTCTTCTATTCACATGGAGTAGCTGTGTAATCCAGGAAGATATATTTAATCTCCTTCAACCTCATTGGTCTAACTTGTAAACCTCAGAATAAAAGCACCTCCCTCACAGAGTTGATGTAAATATCAGATGGGAGGCTGCATAAAAAATTCAAATATTGAATAACACTTAAGAAAGAGTAAGTGAAAACTATTGGAAATAAAGAGGAGTTTTGTTTTTTGTTTTTTGTTTTTTTTTTTGGTTTTTCTCCGGTACCAGGAACCGAACTCACGACCTTGCACTTGCCAGGCAGGTGCTTTTGCCGCTGAGCTAAATCCCCAACCCCAAAAGAGGAGTATTAATCTCACTAAATGAGATATATAGAATCCATTATTATCTGGACATTTCCATCCTACAAAATAGAATAAAGTGGTTTAAAGTGGACTTTATAGATAGCAGACTTGGTTATACTGTCGCCAGCTAGTTTGGAGCCTTGCGTTTAGTAATAATGGAACTAAAATTAAAGCACAAATCTACAGAAAAGAAGTTTTAATTGGAAAATTAGGGAGAAGATGGGAAAAGACTCCAGCTTAGGCAGCTGGAGGGAGCACACTCTGACACAGAAGGGGTTCAGACTGTCCTGCTCTCAGAGACAGGAGTCCAGCCTTTACGGAGTAGCTGATGGGCTGGGGTCTAGTTGGTCCTTATCTCAGTCCTGAGGGATGGTTATGTTCCCATGAAAGGGAATTGCCTTTGTCTATGGTGGCTTCAGTCAGGTGGGGTTCTGCGTCTCTTGGAATGTTGGTGATCACAAGTTTGGGACAAAGGCTGGAGATTACCAGGTATAACTGACTACTCCTGTAACCCTTTTACCTTAGTGTCCTTTGTCTTGAAGAGGGGTGAAATCCTGATTACAGCCTTGTCAGGCCAGTTCCTAGGCAGGTACTCCCTAAATGATCAACATACCCTATGCAGAACTAAGAAGACAGCTGGCCAAAGGCTCAGTGTAACAAAGGATACAAAATGAAAGTCAAACATTGTTCTGCTTTTAGAACCTGTTGAGCATTTGTAAGCCCAAATGAGGCGTCCTGGTTCATAGAAAAAATGGCTTTTAAGTTCTTGGCTATTCTAGGAGAAAACGCAAATTATGGTTTTAATGTGCAGCAGGTAAGAACCTAGGGTTCTGCCTGTTTCCGATCCCTATAGTGATCCCTGACGATGTTATTATTACCTGGAAGCTGGGTCCTAACATGATGAGGTCTCAGTTTACATTTATATGATTAACGAGGTCTTCTAAGGAATATATTTTCCTTCCTTTGAGGCCATTGTTATTGTATGAATGAAATAGACAGTGTTGACCCACTCCCAAGCGAAAGAGGTCCCCATTACTCCATAGTTGGATGTCTCTATTTAGTTTGTTTTGAGACCAGGCAGTTTTCTCAATCCCTCACCAATGGTCTGAACTTTATATGTACCCTAGACCTTATCAGCATGCTTAGAGATGCTCCATTCTCTTGAGCTAAAGTTTGAAACCAGAAACTTGTGTTGGTCTTATCTAATGATGTTTTCTTTTCAGAGAGCCTCCAGCCACCTGTCCCAGTCTGCTAATGACTAATTTTCTGTCTAACATGACTGCATTCAACATTACATTGAGAAATTATGTTCTTTTTCCCACACAAATGCTGCCAAATTTGTCCCTAATCTTTCTAGACTGGTGTGTTATCTCTTAGTACCTTTGCATCACAGAGATAGAACAGGTGCTGACTGCTGACTTTTATGTGGAAATAAATATAGACGACCTTTTTGGCTTATCAAGAAAGGACAAAACTGTAGGCAGCCATGTCAAAAGAAGAGAAACTAATGCGAAATTTCAGTGACAGAGAAGAAAAATATTTGTAAGGAAAATTAACATCACAGGTCTACCACATGAGATTTTTCCATCAGCCAAAGTGAATTAAGGTGGAAAGGAACAGGCAACTCAAGCTTTCAAGCTGATTGATAATTATGTAATTCTAAAATGTGTGGACTACTTTTTTGTAAAAAGCCGTGAATATGGTACTCTAATAAAATTTATTTTAAAATGTTAACTTCAGAATTTTTAGAAAGAACTTTTTTTTTAGAAAGAACAAATTATACAGAGTTGATACTAAGTAGGTTCCACTTTGTGCATGTTTGCAATGCACCTGTGATTAGTAAGCATGTATAACATACAGACAGCTACATATTGGTTCTTTCTTAGGAAACTCCCACCCCTTTTCTGCTTCTTTTTGACATAAGATCTTACTACGTAGTTCAGGGTGGCCTTGAGTTTATTCTGTAGCCCAGCATGATCTGAAACTTGTGGTGATCCCCCTGCCAGTTGGGAATAGAGATATGTACCAACACACCAGGTTCTTTCTTGGAAATATCCTAATGCTATGAGCCCAGTGAAAGATAGATTCAGAAAGATAAAGCATAAATATATGATATAATCAGATATAAATACCATGTTTGATTAAGACTATGGTTAAATTTAAAACATTACTAATCAGGTGTGGTGATGCATACCTACAGCCCCATGGAGGCTGAGGCAGGAGGATTTCAAGTTGGATGCCAGCCTGGACACCTTAGTGAGACCTTGTCTCAAAATAAAATAGAAAGGTCTGGGGATGCAGCTCAATGGTAAAGTTCTTGCCTGGCATGTGCTAGGTCATGGGTTTAAACCCTTGTACCACATTTTAAAAATTTACTACCTCACTTCCTGTGCTTTGGGGAGCTATAGTTAGGGATTTCTATTAACACCTGACCTAAATTGAAGTTGTCAAATTAATATTCGACTCGTAATCTCAAAGAACCTGTAGATCTTAGAGAGAATATTATTTCAGATAAAAAGTATTCACATTTGTACAGAGCTATGGGAAATTAGATTTTGTTTGGGAAACCCATGTGTTGGCATTGTGTTGTGTAGCATATCATGAGTCAAGTATGAAACTTTCTATTCCTCACATCGTTTTTCCTTCTTTTCTTGTATCTTTCTTTGCCCCTTTGGTCTTGAGACTTAAGTTAGCCCGCGCTGCCCACAAACAAGCTGCAAGGAAAGACAGCAGGTCTCCCGCAAGTTGTGTACTCTGGCTTCAGCACAGACGAGCAGGCGGTCTCTCTTCACCAGCGAAACAGAAGAGGTGGTAAAGCAGAGACCTCATCCGGGAGTGGACTGGAAGCGGGATGTCAGTGTCAGGGATCACCTCTTCAGTTCATATTATTTAAAGTTAAGGTGCTACGGAAAGGTCACACCACACACACACACACACACACATGTGTGTGTGCACGCACACACACACACATACACACACATCCATATGGTTATAAGAATTTGTTCATAATAGGAGCATGAATGTAGATTTCAAGATTCGTTGAAAGAATTGAATGTTTGCTATCTGAAAGGAAACATCATACTGTGTTTGTCTTTTGGTTATAAGCCTAATGTTTGTAAAAGCTTTTTCTATTTGCTTAAGGATGGCTGCCTTCAGATAACAAAGTCCTTGTACTTTATCTGGAGTGAATGCTGAAATTCTTGTTGCTTAGCTGGTCAGGGAAAAGCCTATTTATACTGAGATTTAAATAAGCCCATGTGCTAAACTACTATTTTTAAGAGCTTAGGCAAGTTTTGTAGTACAGCCTCAGAATATCAGAACTCTCCTCATGGCACATTGAGCTCTAGCCCCTGAGCTCAGGCCATCTGTCCGCAATGTACCTGCTGGCTGGGTGTTTTCCTCAGTCATCATAGAATGGCTCCAGTGTATTTCCCCTGGGACTTTAGGACCCTAGCAGCTGCTATCTTTTTTCTTCATCTTACTGCAAATTTGTTTAAATTTTTTATTTTGGAATTGATCTATTTTGTCCCACTTCTTTGAGCTCTTATTACTATAAGTGACTGACGTTATAAAAAATCCCAATTTTGCCAAAAGAGGTGATGGAAAAATAGAATTCCATATCGCTAAAAATGCCACCAGCTTCTTCCTCTCCTTGCTCTTCCCTTTTCCTCTGTCCGTTTCAGGCCTCCTTTGGGGATATTTCTGCACACTGTAATGTTCAATTGTTTCTTGGCAAGGTTTGAGGTTTGAATTTTTAGATAAATGAACTTTTTATTTTAGAATAGTTGTAGAGTCCCAGAATTATGCCAAAAATACTTACCCCATGACCAGTCTCCTTTGCATCAGTATGATATATTTGTTACAAGTAATGAGCCAATATTGATACATTTTTATTGATGAAAATTCGTGCTTTATTCTGATTTCCTCAGTTTTTCTTTAATGTACTCTTTTTGTTCCAAGATTCCACCTAGGATGCCACATTGCGTTTATTTTTCATGTCTCCTTAGACCTTTCTTGGTTGTGACAGCTTTTTTACATTTTCTTGTTCTGGGTAACTTTGGTAATTTTAAAGATTATTATGAGTTTTGTAGAATTGGAATCTGTCTGATGTTTTTCTCAAAATATCCTGGAGTATACCATTTTTAAGGAAGATAATCACAAAGGTAAATTGCTATTCTTACCACAGTTTTCACTTTTTCTTGAAGATCAGCTAAGCATTTTCCTGAATATTTTAATAACATATTCATTAAAGCTATAAGAAAGCTGTGGCTGGTCCATTTGTTTTTGTTTATTGGCATTCTTGTAAAGTATGGAAGAATTCAGACAAAACTAGTTTTGGTGACAATAAAGCCTATGTTCTTCTTTTTTTCATGTGCGGTAGGTGGGAATGAGATCCCGAAACCAAAGTGGCGAAAGTTCCTCGAATGGGCGTATCTCCTGCTCTAAGACCTCCAGCACCAACAATGCTGATGAGAAAAGTCTCTCAGAAGAGGCAAAAAAGAAGAACAAATCAAACAGGAAGGAGGAGGGTGTCATGGCTTCAGGGACAGTCAAACGACACCTGAAACCATCTGGTGAAAGTGAACGGAAGGCTAAGAAACGTCTGGAGTTATCCAAAGAAGATCTCATCCAGCTACTCAGTATAATGGAAGGGGAGCTGCAGGTAGAGCCACACTTTCAGTTATTGTTTTTCTAGCTCCTAAGCAATTAAAAAAGAGATTATGAATCTCTGCTCCTCACTGCACTACAAACATCCTGGGGAAAGGGATAAATCTTTCTTGTTCATTTTGAAATCCCTACATGAGGCCTGGCACAAGTTTGTACTTGTATTTGTTTAATAAAAAATGTATTTGTTACATGAAAAGTGCTGAGTTCAACATCAACCTTCTCTAGAAGCAGGCCATTTATTTTTTGTGTGTGTGTGCGGGGGATCGAACTCAGGACCTTGCGCTTGCCAGGCAGGTGCTTGTGCCACTGAGCTACATCCCTGGCCACTAGGCCATTTCTTTATGATATGATTTTAGTAATAATTTGAGATAGATTCCTGCACTAGTAGATAATCAATTAGATTTACTAATTCAGACACTGTGGTTGAAAAACACGGAAATGTCGTAACTATTAAAACGGATGGGTAAGATCAGTTGTTTTGCTTTTTTCTGACTGGTAGAGTGAAACAAAGCTAGCAGGAGAGGGCAGGAGAGGAAGGAGGCTTTGTTGAAACCAGAATTATTGCCGAATCTGTTCTCAGTTTTTCATAACTTCCAGTCTCAACTTTCTACAATGGTATAGGAGTTGAGATACATAACAAGAAGAGAATATGATATATGGAAGGACCTAAGAGTTTCTCAAAGCATTTTCAGGTCTCTTACCTCATTTGATCTCATGAAAATGTGGGCATCATTATGTATATTTTATAACTGAAGAAACTGAGTCCCAGAGCTGAATGTGGATTGTCTTCCTCTCACCACAGGCCTCCTGATTCTTGGTCTAGTGGTCAGTCTACTGCCCACTCCCAACTTTATATTAGTTGCTAATGGGTTAATAACACCCCTTAGTTATTGCAGGCTGATCAGGTCCAAAATCTCCTGAAGGGGTATATGGTGATGGTTAAATAAAAAGAGTCAAATGGAATGATTTCACAGCTCCAGGAGAATCAAAGCCCTCTCACAGAATTCAAGATTCTCTTAGGGCTAAGACCAAGACCTTCTCTGGGTGGTCTGTATTTATTTAGTTATCAGAAGAAGGGAGGGGAGTACTCAAGAAAGCTGGAACCACTCAAGGACTTCTCCAGGTAAAGTGTTAAATTAATCTACCCAGGAGTGAGATGCTCAAGGCTACAGTTTTTATCTAGTTGAGGTTGGATCCAGGTGTCCTTGGCTGTGATCTTGTCTTATCCTTTGAGGTTTTCTGGTTTTATGTGCTATTACAGGCCTTAGGAGGGATTAGTGACTCAAAGAGGTTCACTTACCATGAACCTGTCCCCCACTTCCAGACAAGCAGCCTAGGCTTTGGACAGATTCACAAGTAAACATGGAAAGTCAATTAGTTAATTTAAGTCCTGCTCAGGGCTGCTTCATAGTGGTCTCCATCAAGTTGCCATGAGCCACGTCTATCCCAGCACATCTGTCTTTAAAGGGATCCAGTCAAAAATTTTTTGAGTTTCTGACTTCTATACAATTATATTTTTGGCAGTAAGGGAACAATGACTTTAAAAAAAAAAAAAAAAAAAGACACTATGACTTTAGAGTGGAGTTGCTGTTTTTCTTTTTGTTTTTGTTGAGTTCTTAGCTTGCACGAGCCTCCACGGGACAGGTGCTAGTTCTGTGACATGAAGCCTTCTTGGCTTACCGGGACAACCTCCCCGATATGAGAGGTTGTTCCTTTCTCTGCTGTGTGTGTACAGATGAGGGTGCCTCTGGGGAAAGAGAAATAGAAAACAGACAAAACTCAAGTCTGAACAAACAAACAAATGTGATCAGGTGTAGCATGTATAGAGGGAGGGAAATCATGCTTTTATGTCACAGCAGAAAGGTGAAATTTTCCAGAGTGCTACTATTTCCAAAAATAGCTTCACCACTCCCAGGAAGATGGTTAGTGTTTCATCTGTTAACATTCACCGTGTGGAAGCAGGATTACTCCACCTCTTTAAACTGCTTCCAGTTGACAGCTATCAACCTAAACACAAGTGAAAAGTCCAGCTGTTGATGCAGTAGAAAGATGTCAAAGCAACATCCACCTACTCCTTTCTGGCCATCTTGGTGCTTTTGAAGCCTGTGGCTCCTACAGACTCTCCTTTCTGCAAAAGGTTGTTATAGATGATGGATAGCATGACATATTTAAAATTCACTGGGCCAGGGATATAGCTCAGTGGCATAAACGCCTGTCCGGCAAGCGCAAGGTTCCGAGTTTGATTCCTGGTACTAAAAAATAAAAAAAATAAAATAAAATTTATGTGGCTTTTAGGCACAAGGTGGTGCTAGATATGGTTCTAGACTCTTGCTGTACAAGATAGGAGCTCACACATCAGGACAATTGAAGAAATTAGCTAGAAGGCTCCAAAGAAAGCATTTTGCTTTTCATTAATGTTTATAAGTACAGGATACCTCCCTTACACAATAGATCTTTTCTTGAGCAGCTATGAATAAGTAGAAAGTGTAGACTATCACTTGTAGGGGAGGCAGGGAAGAGAAATAAATGAAGGAATTGATATTTTAAGGAATCTTGGGATGAGTTCATTTGCAAAGCAAATACTGTCACAAGCTTTTGTAAGTGCAGATTTTGAAGTATTATGTTTGCTTAGAATGAGAATGTACCTGTATTTAGAGCGTAGAGACTTGTCCTCTGTGGTGGTATCACAGTGGGGGGGCTGTCATAGTGAGGAGTGAGTGGCAGTTCACTTTAGCAACTGTGAGTGGGCTGCTGGCTGGGGCAAAAATGGCAGCCATGTGCTGGATTTGTCAGACAAAAGACCAGGGGAAGAATCTGTCTGAAGGGCTGGTGCGGGGAGGAGAAGCAGAAGAAGACTTCAGCTGTGGCCGCATGCCTTCTGGCACTCAGTGAGTTGTTCCTCAGGTCTCCAGTGGCTGCCTGTTGCTTTCTTCTTACAGGGTGGATGTGTGTGACACAAACACCAAACACCCTGCCTTTGGAAATGGTGTTCCAGGGTTCTATAAAATATTGGGATGGTTAGACACTTCTGACATGACTTCTCGGCTCCATCACCCTTATATTAAAGCAGGTCATGTGACTGACTCCACATGGTGCGGCAAGACAGTTCCAGTCACTCTCTATCCAAATTCCTGGTCTCATTGTCTAGCATCTTCCCTGTTATCCCTGCTACATTCTGGGGATTTTCAAGTATGATTGGACCTCAGGATCTTTATACTCATTCTTGGCCTCCAGAATTTCTTCTATGTAAACTAATAAGCCAAAGCCATTTTGGGAAAGACAAGACTTTGGGATAAGAGAAATTGAAGTCTTGCACAATTTGGAATGGGATTAGAGTCTGGAGGTTGGTTGTGATCTAGATAATAAAAGGATGGGATATAGGGTCCACGTGGCTGTGTGTATTGGCTGCGCAACTCTGGGGCTTCAAGTCATTACTGTGTGGGTGGTATTCCCTGAAGTGGTACAACAGGGCAGCCTTGGGGGACCACATCTACAAGTTAATAGGGGTGAGGTAATGCACAGAAGAAAGGGTGTATCATACGGAGGAGGGGATAGGACCAAGATCAAGCTCAACTGGAGGAAGTCTACCCTGAGTATGACTTGGGAAAAAGGCAGACGTGTGGAGACCCCTTCAGGCTTGGCTTATTAAGATTCTCTCCAGACTTCTTACTGATTTCTCTAGTTCTCTGCAAATTCAATCCATTATTTTGGACATTGAAGACAGTTCTGTGTGCTTTCTTGGGGTACCAGTGTCTTGCCACCTTTGGAATATCTTGACTGATCTATGAGAATTTGTTAAATTAATACTATGAACAGCCAAGTGTATTGGCACACATCTGAAACCCCAGCACTCTAGGAATCTAAGGCAGGAGGATTGAAAATTCAAGCCCAGTTTAGCAACTCAGTGATACCCTGTCTCAAAGTTAAAAATTTTTAAAAAGAACTGGGGATGTAGTTCAGTGCAAAGTTCCTGGTTTCACTCTCCACCACCACCCCCAAAAACAGAAAAATTAAAAACAGCATGACTTCCAGTGTTAGCTTTAGCATTTTGCAAAATTGACAAGTTTACTGTTTTGTTTGCAATTGAAGTATTCCATGAAATCTTAAATTGCATCTTTAATGGATATGTGTTAGAAATGGTATGGGCCATACCAGGAAATTTTGCATTTGTGAGTCTTGTTTAGCACTGGTAATGCCATGAGCCTTGTCTTGGGGAGGGACCTCTTCCAGACTTTTCATGGCACATATTGGCAGATGTAGGCCTCGGGTCTCAGCAGAATGACTGTCCAGTGTGGCCTGCATTGAAGTAGCTGTGATGGTTTCCACTGTTACACTCTGTCATTGACTGCTTCCAGTAACAAGTACTTTCTAATATATTGAAACGTTTCACTCTTTGGGTGAAAAACTGCTTACATATTTCCCAGACTAAACTGAAAGTAATGAAATCATATACTCACACCATCACTTGGGCACCATGATTAATTTCCTCTCATGTTTGTCCAAAAATAGCACTCTTAAAAAGTCAAAGTGGTTGTTCTAAAAACAAATCTTTTTTTTATTTTAAAGAGAATAAAAAAGAATTTAAAGCCATTAGAAATGATATAGAATTTCAAAAAAAAAAGATGATAGGAATACAATGATTGTTTTATTTCATATTGTTATCTTCAAAGTAGTTGTTAAAAAACCAAAAAAAAAAAAAAAAAAAAAAAAAAAAGAAAATACTGTAAAAAGGGCTGGGGATTTAGCTCAGTGGCAAAGCACCTGCCTGGGAAGCGCAAGGTCTTGAGTTCGGTTCCTAGTACCGGAGAAAAACCAAAAAAAAAAAAAAAAAAAAAAAAAAAAAGAAAAGTAGTTGTTCAGATTACCAGATATAAGTGTGTAAAATTGGTCAAAAAAGTAAGCATTAACTGTTCCTTTCAGCAAACCAATAGAAATTCATAATACAATTGTCTTAGCTATCTTTTATGTGTATATATATATATATATATTTTTTCC